GTATACTTATCCTATCTCACACGCGATAAGCCCACCTGACCATCCCTGAGTCTCATTTACTCTAGGCTAATAAGCTCTGCGAAAGAGAATGAATTGGTAGAGGTGCACACGTGGTCAGTTCAAGCAGGAACTGCGTGCACGAGAAGCATGTAATTGACCTAGCTTTTGGACATAACCATGGAGATGCAGGGGGGCTTGGGTGGCTATTTTTAGTTTTAGAAGCTGGAAACAGATTTTGGAAAAGCTGCAGTCATTTCTCAACAAAGTGATGATATGCCTCAAGCCTCACAAGGAGACGTTTCATCAGGATTTTGTCAGTGGGTCAATATCGACTAAAATAAAGACACATTGAATGGGCATTAGTCAACATATGTTATGGGAATAGTTACATATCAGACTCCTGCACATGAAAGTCCAGTACAGATACCAAGAAGAAAGGTGTCTTCATCTGATTTACTTTTGGCTGGAAACTTGGGAAATATGGTGCATCCATACAAGCAACTGCCAAAGAATCGTATGTTTGATGTGAAATTTTTGGAATTACCTTAGATAAACATTTCAGTTAGTAAATTCCTTCAACTGGATTCAATGTGGCTCTTGTCAAGTCTTTATACCAGTTAATCAATTGACTGGCAAGGATTTATGGCTGATATTGCAAGTGGTCATTGCATCTGCACATCATTCATCTACAGCCCAATGATCCTCAAACAAAAGAGGCAGTGTACAGCACCATGAGGTTTGTTGATTCTCAGAGAATACAGCTTGGACAGCGTTGTGCTCAACTGACATTTTGATCAGCCTTTTTATGCCAAGGGTACAAAATCAAGACTGACAACCCCAATGAGTTTTCTCAGGTTCAGTTGAGGCTTGGAGGATTTCATCAACTTATGTCTTACCTGGGTGCTGGTTGCAAATGTATCTGAGACAGTGGCCTTGATGAACTTTGGGTAACTGTGTATGCAAGGAAGAGTCTCCCAAAGATGTTTGATGGTAAGTCCTATTCAAAGACCCTGAGAGCATGCCTTTTGACTGATGCAGCACTCCATGCCATACTACTGGAATCTGACAAACTGACAGGTGCTAATGAGTTGACGATGATGAAGTGTCCGTGCCTGAAGTCCGTGTCATTCCCAAAGACACAGCAGATAAACGGAATAGGCTTCAGCAAGAAATGTTTAAGGGAGATCATGACACCTTGAAACACAGATGAAACATTGAATCAGCTTCATGTGCAACTGGTTGAACTGAAAGAACAGAGCTATTAAGGACAAGTAAGCTGTGGCTGATGTTCATGGACTTTGTTTCCATTGTAAGGATGTTTGTTAGGGCAGAGCGCGCAGGTAACTGGCAGTTACATCTGAAGGCATGTTACCCCTGTTTTCAGCATCTGGTCACATCAACTATGCCAAGTTTTGCAGATTGTATCTTCAGGATTATCTTTGTCTATGTTCATGTCTGAAAGTAACAATGGAAGCTGGTCTGTTTACAATTCAAAGGAACTCAAAGCAATTTTGGAGTGGCATGATCATAGAACAGTGTCTAATCACTCACAAGGATTCAGCAAGAACCACATGACTTCTGTCTGCCCATATTGTAGCTCAGTACTCAGTGCTCCTCATCTGAGATTGTTGATCACCACAGAGATATGAATCCAGGCCGGATAAAACAAGATTATGCTGATTTGCAATCACAACGAGAAATATTGCCAGTGAACCTGTTGCAGTTGACAAAATGAATGTTGATGAAGCATTTGAGATTAGAAAAAAGATTCAGTTAAAAATGACAGGGATGAAGTTTGGAGATGTTGTTTTGAAGAAGTCATCGTAAGTTGTCAGGTTGGCCACCATGAAGAAGTCTATCTGCCTATCAGGTGGAACACAGTTGAGAATGTCATCAATGGATTATTGGCAATGGCTCTAGTGAGTTGTCCCCAAACTCATGATGTGTTCTCGTTTGAACTTGCAGCAGTGTCACAATCTCTCTTCCACGATGAAGGATCGATAAGAAAATGCCAAAAGTCTGTCCTGGCCAGATATCTGCTTACACATCACCACAAAGAAGAAGCACACACCACAACACCAGGCATAGTCATTGATGGATGCGCACTTCTTCAGCAGATACCCTTGCCAAAGATCGGTACGATTGAAGACGTCTGCAAGAATGTTTACAGTGTAATCCATCAACCTACACAACATCGGCCATCTTGTGTAGTATTTGACACATATGAAGCCACCATGACCAAGGAGCTTGAACAGAAGAGAAGAAAGATTATGAAGGTACCTGCACCAGACATAACAGTGAAGAACACCAGTCCCTCAGGCTAAAGCAAGCTTTATGATAAACAAGCAGAACAAACAGGCTTTTAAACCTGCTTGCAAAACATCTGGCAGCAGAAGGAATACAATTTGAACATGCAGCCGAAGAGGGTAATGCTGATGTTGTGGTTGTAAGTCAAGCTATCACGATGGCAGAGATCACAGATGAAGTGGTTGTTTATGCAGATGACACGGATATCTTGGTGTTGCTGACCCATCACAGCAAACCTGGAACCAATCTCTTCGTGAAGTCAAAGAAAAATCTCTTTTCAGTGAAGCACTTCAAGCTGCTGCAGTCAACAGATACACTTCATGATTCAGCATCGGTTTTTGGAGACGTGTCAACTTCAAAAGACATGATCACTACAGCCAGTGAAAGATTTGTCAGTGCTCTGTACAGCACTTGATGAAGGACCCTGCCTTGATGAACTGAGGTATTTGTTTGCAGTTATTTCCTGTAGAGAGAATGCCACTGTCAAGCAGAGCATACTACAGTACTTCCATTCTCTGCTTGTTCATCACCATGTGTCCACATGGATCTCACCTAAAAACTGTCTTGGACATGCATGAATATGCATTATTAATTGTGGATGGGACCATCATTGCAACAATAACAGACAAATGTCCTGCCCCTGATAATCTTATCAAGCAATATGTGTGTACTGATGGCTGAAGAAGTACTAAGTGCTATGAAAAAGTGGTTAGTTATATATGTAGAATGATTTGGGGATATTAACAGGATATGCACTGGGCACATCATGAATTAGATCCCCAATAGATTTACTTTGAACTGTACTAATGTTACTTAAGTCCCTGGAATCATATATATCATGTATCTTATGATCCTGTTCAAATCATGGAACATATCAAACAATCATGTATATAGAATGAAATAATATTTTCAGCCAGAAGAAATCATTGTCATTTGGTTGTAATGAGAAAATGGTTTAGAAGTTGTAAACTTTAATCCATTAATTAAAACCTTTGAAAAGAAAGGTTGTAATAGGCCCTTTATGTAAAGTAATAACAATATATTTGGGGTTAGGAATTGCAGTTGTTGTGTTTTTTTAACATTAATTACTTCAAGGACATTTATGTTTGCTGTAATTTTCATGCAAGAATTTATCTTGGTTGTTAAATGAGTAATGGCTTTTGCGGTTTGTTTGAACTCCTGCGTCCAAAAATTATTCAGGCATGATAACATTATACTCACTCTGTTTTTCAGCCAGCAGGTCATGCTGGAGTCAAACAGATGTTAAGAAAGTTAAACAGCTTTTGCATCTCCTTCTCTTTCCTCCAAATAAAGCATAAAACAAGAACTCTTTCAAACATTGCAAGAAACTGATGATAAAGGAAGTATTACAAACTATTATTTATTGAACGTATGCAATGTAAGTAAGTTATTGAAATGCATAAGATAATAACTGAAATAATAAACTTTAAGTTTCATAACATCATTTTCTAAAGAAAAGTCAATTGAAGACGACCATCTTTAATTCAAGATGGCCAACATTGAATATATGGTAAATAAAAATAAATATTTTGGATTTGATCAAGGTAGGATTCCTAAGAAATGTCAATACAGACTAGAATGAAGAACCAAAACAATATTATAACATGAAGCCATGACAAATGTATTCCTACTGAAGTTCGTGTGAAAAGAGAAGACACCACCCCCAGAACCTTGCAAATAAAATATATTTCCCTAACCTTGATTTTCTTTGTCTCTTTATGGTGACCAAAAACACCCTTCTGGTGAGTTTAAACACAAATTTGTTGCCTGTTACCAAAAATGTCCGTGTCCAATGCATTTTCTACTGAACTAATTTTGTATTTTGTTACCTAAACCGAGTACATTCAACGTCATGAGAGTAACCACCTCTGACCTGTCTGTAAAGAACTACCTCAGTAAGTCAGTGACAATGACAGCGCGTCGTAATACATTTACATCAAGTACAAGACGTCAAAATGGCCGATGCGATAAATGTGACGGGAGAGATTTCCGAAGTTGTAAATGAACCTGTGGCGGTAACATGTGTTAGTCATCATTGATCAACTGGCCGATCATTGAAAGGTGAATAAAGATACGTCAAACAGACACTAAGGTAAATTCATAGATTGCTGGAGACGGTCAATGTCAGCCTAGGCACGGATCGAGTCGATACTACGATAGTTTAGATGTGCATTTCTTCGTTTGTTCATTAGGATGGGCCGTAGCGTGGATATTCGTGAACAATCATGCAGTCACGCTCTCTGACATTTTTCAATGTATACTGAAAGAATAAAGGTTCTAAATGATCACAAAGAACGTTTATGTATGTTTTCGTGCTAGGGAATTTCCAGGTTTCCCCAGGAATGTGGAAGTAGTCCGTCAGTGTTTGCGTCATTTAAAGAACACGGCCTCGTGAAAAACGTATGAACGTCAAATTGTGTCGTTCATACACTTATGAACGTCAATTTTGCGGTCATGTGACCGACCTCTCGTCCAATGGAAAAGCTGTATATCGTGTAAACTTCAAATTAAAAAATTATAATGAAATAATCTTCTTCTTCTTCACCTAGTTACGTAATTAGACACTTTAACATGATCAATATTTATGACTGACTGAGACCAGTGAGGTAAAACTTGTGGTGTGGGTAATTCACTCTGTTTTCTTATAAACCAGAGGGTCATTTTGTCCACAGAAACTGGTGCTGGAGCGTCCAGCCACCTTTCCTGTAAGGGAGACAACTCCTGTTGACACTGGGCAGTACAACAATGCTGAGGCACAGAAACTGAAGGATCTTGTAATGCAGAGAGATAATGAAATCAGTATCCTTTGAAATGTGATCAGAAAATTATTGATATCATAGTATCCGTTATCTTATCTAATTCAGTTTAAGCATTTTCTTCAACTTAATAACAACACGTGTGGTCTGACGTATGGTTCCTGTAGGAAGTGACAACTTGGAAACGATAGCTTGCGGTATATACAGTTTTACTTTATACATGTATATACATACAAAAGACACTATGTGCCAGGTCAGCACATAGTGGTAGTGGTTGTTGTCTTGGTGCCCCGGAGCACCAAACCTAACCCTAGCTAGGCTAAGGGTAAGACTTTTCTTTTCTCTTTTTCAATCTCGCTGGACCAAGGCTTATATAGCCAAGGTCACCTGACATTTAGTAAGTAATAAGGATAAAGGTAAACAGTAAATCATCAGTGACATACTGGTACATCTCGTTCAGGATGGCAGACGGTCGATGTACACAAAAATGGGGATTAACAAATAGGATTAGCATCTTATCAATAACAGCAATTAAGTGTTTCAAGGCATATAGATGTCATGGCTCCAGGGTTAAGAGCCTTTGCAATTAGATGTTCTTCAAACAATTGGTGTCGTAAATCAGTCGCTATGACATTAAACTTGGGATTGGTAAAAGGGCCTACCTGGCTTATTCCGGGGTAGAATAGGTCTTCAGCAACCCATGCTTGCCGTAAAAGGTGACTATGCTTGTCGTAAAAGGCGACTAACGGGATCGGGTGGTCAGGCTCGCTGACTTGGCTGATGCATGTCATCGATCCCAATTGTATGGATCGATGCTCATGATAACAATCACTGGATTGTCTGGTCCAGACTCGATTATTTACAGACTGCCGTCATATAGCTGGAATATTGCTGAGTGTGGCGTTAAACAACAAACCAACCAACCAACCAACCTACCTGGCTTATATGAATACAGCTCCCTCTTACATACCCCGGTTATTATAAAGTGTTGGCCCTTTAATCTAATATAGACATTCCAATTAGTGATTGTCTGGAAGGTGGGATTTCTGTACTGACCTGGTTCACATAAATGAGGTTTAACTGTACATATATTTTGAAACAATTTTGACTTGGCAAAACATGGTCTTGTCATGGTAAACAAAGAACAATGGTAAAAGATATACCATCAACATGTATAACTATCAATTTAGTTAATGAAATTTGAGTTAGTGAGGTGTCATTGTAGTTGAGTGGATCTTTAACTCAGGCCAGACATCTTGGTGAACATGCTGAAGAAGGAGAAGAAGAGAGCCGCCGATGCCATCTCCTTTTCAGGGTCACACCGAGGGTCCAACATGGCCGCCACTAGGGGAAACAGGATGACAAACGGGGATGACACTCAGAATGGTTACAATTCTCACAACTACTCCAGTCATAGTGCCACAGACAATCGATACAATGAAAGTCAAGGTCAGAATGACAGGACGTCCTCAGGAAAAGCTAATGCGTGGGCTGAGAAGGCAGAAAGGACCAAGACAAAGATATGTGAGTATCAGATTCATGGCTAATTTAACCATAGTATATTGTCGAGTACTCTATTTTCAAACAACCCCTATGTTTGTAACAGCCGTATTGGTAGTGATATGTCACATTTTAACAAGAGATGTGATGTCATCAAAGCTGCCAACTTGAGAGTGCACATGTTTGGCCTGTCAACATTGGGTTTATGTGAAGTACTGTATACGTGTCAGAACATTCTGTCATCATTCAGAATTTTGGTGTCCATGTCATGATGAAAAGGAAGAGTAAAATAGTGTGAACACTATAATTTGAAAAACATTCATATATTGTGAATAGGTTTCAAACTTTCAATTACTTTTTTAAAAACACAAATATTCCTTTGATTGTACTCACCTTTTGGGTGTAGAAGCCATGGCATTTAGAAATTGCAAGGTTTATAAAATATCTTCAACACATAAGATGGTGCTGCCTTTATTATTTTCATTCGGAACAGGTCGATTAACTTTGTTTCAAATAGACAGAAATCTGATAAGTTTGTCTTTATGCTTTGCTCAGTAATGATGAGAATTTAGAAGCTTCCACATTGATTGGCTGATTTTGAAAGTTAACTTGATGTCACCTTCTGTGCAAGCATCCTCAGATCTTTACCCAGAGAGGTATTCATATCAGATTTTTAATTGATTAATCATATTGTATCTTCATCAGTCATATATATATCATCTGATCAATCATGTATCACCTACTGCTGAAGAAATATTCAGCAATTCTGAAGAAAGGTTTCGCAGTCCTTTATTATCAGTTACTCGTAAAGAATATTTATCCATGTGTTGTTACTCAGTGGGGCGGATGTCCATGGGCCGACAGGAGGCGTTTGACATCTTCATGAGAGACTACGAGCAGAACCAGAAGATTGACGAGAACAAGAAGATACTCAAGCAGAGATACGCGGATGCCAAAGTATTCGGAGAAAACCTTAATAAAGCCAAAACTAGAATCAGTGAGTGATATTATTATATATTAGAAACAAACTTTTCATGAAAGGACAAATCCTATTAAGCATTCCACTCGCCCTTGTCAAACTATTGCAGCATTTGGATGTCAAAATGTTTTTGTTCATATTTTTATTGTTGTTGTTGTTGACAAAATATGACAAGCTCAGTAACACAAAATATGGCAAGATCTTTTCCATATTTTCCATTATTACATTTATATCAATTATGATATATATATTCTTCTGTCTCTGTGTTTCAGACCTGTCCAAGAGTAAGATTGAGCAACATCGAATGCAGCTGGCAATGCAAGGTAAGGGAATGATTCTCTCTCCTGCCAGTATGAGACAGAGAAGGAATGGGGAACATTTCACTAGTAGTGGTGTGATAATTAGACAACCCATCATTGCATGGAAATTATCAGTGCCAAATGACCAATACATTATACATTAATACTATAGAGTAGCGACCAACCCTTTAAAAGGGGCTTATTTAACCTTTAGCCTGCTGAATTGTTTTCACACTTCTTACCCCTACCCACAGTAGAACAAAGCACAGTCAAATTTTTCTTCACAAGATGTCATTTATGCTTTAGAAAATAATGGTTGTGGTGATTTCTTTTGGTAAAATGCACATTTGTGTGTCAAAATTTAGTAGATCAAATAAATGGCTCTAAACAAGTCAGTTTGCACATAGCAATGCTCATTTTATAAACAAAATCAGTGTGCTGATATATTGACAACCTCCATACTGACAATCATGCCATGTGATATCTCAAAATCTGCCTGAATGCTTTAGGAACTTAATTTAATTATAGGTATAATAATATGGTATTAATTAATGTAGGTATAATATAATGTATGAAAATTTAGTAAATGTGATCCCATCCTGTTAAGGAAACAACAAATATAGAATAACATATTTAAAAAATTACTATGACAACACTAACATTCTTGTACACCAATTTGTTTTAGTTGAACACATGAATCGTTTAAGTATCTTACATATATATATGAGCTTGAGAAATTTCTTTTATCCAATATGGTGGAAAAAATGGCCTCCAAGATGGTCACCAATACAGGAAAATGACAATATTTCGTTTTCACTTCGTAATGTATGAGAAATTTAAATGTCAAAATTTAGGGTTCGACCAGGAACTCCATCTATTTTGTTATCGTCATATAAAAGATAATTATCGCCTATGTTATGTACTATAATTGCTGATCATATTGACTTACTTTGAAGTGTCAATGTGAAGCACTTATATGCAACTGCTTCAATATTGTAAGTAACTCATTACCAAATCCACTATTTTTCTCCATTGCGGTAAGATACATTTAGACTCTGCCACCCGTGCCAGTGTCACTTAAGCCTTCAAGTTCATATGACATATGATCTGTCACTGCAGATGAGATGAATGTATATATCTGCAGCCATATTGTCATCTGAAACATGTATTGCTTGAAAGCATCATTTAGTGGGAACATTGTAGCTGCCTTGTCAGTGTTGGAGGCCTGCTTGCTGCTCCATTTATCAAAGCAAAGTGATAAAATATTCAGATAATCAAGTATTTAATGTCTAAATGTCTTTCGATTGGACATAACACAACAGTTGACATTCCTCTTCTGACTTTTCTACACTCTTGATATAACGAGTGTTACGACAGTAGATATATGTAAACGTGCCTCATGTTGACTCGCAAGTGGGAGGAGGTAACTAATAAATGGCAGCAATAACTATACTAGCCACATAAAGAAACTGTGCACGGAGAAAATATATTCTGGATTGAAATACAACAAAGCAAGAACAAAATGATGCAGACGCTGTAGCAGCTGAATGATCGGACCATTAGAAAATGGCAACGGGACCTGAACAACATCTGTTACGATGACGTCAGAAGATCAAAATGGAGTAGGGGGTCAAACGACAAAGTCACAAAGTCAATAACGGGTATGACCACCCTGTGCGTGAATCACAGCAGTGCATCGGCGACGCATGGAGTCCACCAAATGGGCCTGGAAGGACTGGGGAATGGCCTGCCATATCCTCCTCAAATCCTGTGCCAAGTCACGGACATTATCTGGAGGATGTGGAAGACGACGCAGACGGCGCTCCATTTCATCCTACACATGCTTTATTGGGGAGAGATCTGGACAATTTGCAGGCCATGGCAGTAAAATGACATTGTTATGGTGAAGGAAATCCATTGCGTCCCTAGCCGTGTGAGGACCAGCGTTGTCATGTTGAAATGTCAATCCCAGGCCATGACGTTGCAGGAAAGGAATGACCACAGGCCTCAGAATCTGATCTCTGAGATTGCCCTGAACAACCACCAAAGGGGTTCAGTGCCGTGCTGTTATCCCACCCCAAATCATCACAGAGCCACCAGGGCGTCGTGGTCGAATCCTGTACTGACATAAACGATTCCTGACAGTGTTGGGATGGATACGGCGCAGTCCAGGAATTGTCTGGGACGTCATTACTGCCATTTGGAACCTGTGTCGGAGATGTGTAACTCGAATCCATCTGTCCTGTCTTGGCGTCGTTACTCGGGGACGTCCTGAACGTGGGTGGTCGGCAACGTCATTTGTGTTCTGATAACGCCTCACCAATGCCGATATCGTGTAACGATGGCATTGGAAATGTGTTGCCACCTGTTGTTGCCTCATTCCCGCTCGGATCATTCCAATGGCTTCATGACCCTGTGCAGCTGTCAATCTTGGCATGATTTGCTTGTGATATGCTTGTGTCTGCGCCTGAGAAGTTTTGAATTTTTGAATGACCACAGATCATGCTTTCTAAAGTGACAGCGAATTTTGAGTTGCACATGCTGTGTACAGCTGCACAGGATGCACGTGCAGTAACACATTGCACGTCCATAGGCCCCCATCAATGACGTCATATCGCATTGCACGTGCATGAGCGTTCGAATGTCTCCAATAATTGCTGTATTCAAACCTATATTTCATATGTGGACGGTGTGCCCTTATATCTATATTTTCTCCGTGCACAGTTTCTTTATGTGGCTAGTATATATTCCACACTTTTCATGAACATGTCATGTTCAAAGCATGTTGATATTTTGGGATATTGAGCCCCTGACATGTGTTACATGTCATTAATTTTTAGAGTTAAAACACACAGCCTGTTCACAGATAAGTATGTTTAAAACCTATTTCATACCATAACACATTATTACAGTTTATAAATGTGGTAACATCTTACAGACATGACCCTTAAAATTCAGTATTGCAGCAGATAACAGAAGAAAGTATTTTTCAAAAAGTTATAAATGTCAGCACCAGAGAACAACCAGTCTCGATTGTCCAACAATACATATTCCATTGGGCGTAACAGCAAAATAGCCGTGAAAATTTTATGAATTGATCACTGAAAATCAGTGAAAAAGGTAAACATGTCCTGCCCTACCTGTAACACATGCCGCTCATTCACTTTGCATGAACAGTAAGCGTTGTATAATGCCTTCCATGCGACAGTTGTATTTAAATAATGCCTTCCATGCGACAGTTGTATTTAAATAATGCCTTCCATGCGACAGTTGTATTTAAATAATGCCTTCCATGCAACAGGTGTATTTAAATAATGCCTTCCATGCGACAGTTGTATTTAAATAATGCCTTCCATGCGACAGTTGTATTTAAATAATGCCTTCCATGCAACAGGTGTATTTAAATAATGCCTTCCATGCAACAGGTGTATTTAAATAATGCCTTCCATGCGACAGTTGTATTTAAATAATGCCTTCCATGCAACAGGTGTATTTAAATAATGCCTTCCATGCGACAGTTGTATTTAAATAATGCCTTCCATGCAACAGGTGTATTTAAATAATGCCTTCCATGCGACAGTTGTATTTAAATAATGCCTTCCATGCAACAGGTGTATTTAAATAATGCCTTCCATGCAACAGGTGTATTTAAATAATGCCTTCCATGCAACAGGTGTATTTAAATAATGCCTTCCATGCGACAGTTGTATTTAAATAATGCCTTCCATGCAACAGGTGTATTTAAATAATGCCTTCCATGCGACAGTTGTATTTAAGGAAACCAGAGAATCAAGTAATGGACCAGACAGAAAGTCAAGTGACACTCGTGCATTTCTACTGCTTTTTGAGGAAACTAAAAACTGATACGTTTTTAATTACGTCTGCCGTGTAAAAGGGTGTTTGGAACGCAGCATGGCTATATATAGCCACAATAGTGTTTTTAGGCCATAACTAAAGATATTTCTCGGTTATATCTTGATCATATTCATTTGTTGATACTTTTGACTACATTTGACAGTCTAGTTACACCAAACTGTACATGTTATGTGCTTAAGTATGTATGTAATTACAAATATAATCATAATAGTGCACTCCTTGGGTTTTGAGAGCAATAGTGTATTCATAAATATTCTGATTTATATGTCAGATTATGAGGTTTAGACACCTTTATGTAGTCTTTGAATGGCATTTAGAAGTGATACACATAAAGAAGAGAATATATGGATGTAACTTCTTTATTATGAGAAACATTTCAGAGTATATACTAACTCCTGAATCAGGTAAATTAATGCTATGAAGCAGAGAACATATATATTTACCTGTGAGAACAACAAAAGTAATAAGATACCAAAAGTAGAAACTATTAAAACAAGGGTTTGGCACTGATAGGTGACAGTGGGACTTAAATTATCACTTATTGGAAATAGGCAATAGACAATGGGCAAACAGCAAACGGGAGGCAGGGGGTAATAAGCACTTATAGGTAATAGCAATGGAAATGGCAATGGACAAATGGAGGCCAGCTGGATAATTAGTACAGACAATAATCAAAGCAATACTAATACAAAAACTACAAAAAATAGGACTCAAAGGTCAAATAATAAACTACATCCAGGACTTCCTAAACAATCGTAAAATAACCGTGGGTATAGACCAAATGCTATCGGACCAATGTCCCCTAGAAAATGGCACTCCCCAGGGCAGTATCCTCAGCCCCACACTCTTCAATATAATGATAAATGATCTATTCGAGGGGCCCTATCCCCTAAAATAAACACATCTAAATTCGCGGATGATGGAGCCCTCTGGATCCGCACAAAAAGCACTAAAATGGCCCCAAACCTACTTCAAAAATCTCTAAACAAAATACAGCAATGGGCTGACAAATGGGGCTTCTCCCTTAACTCGGAAAAAACTACAGGAATAGTATTTAAACACAAAAACATGAAACCCGCCTCCCCAAAACTCCAGCTAAACAACAAACCAATCCAATTCCTAAAACAAACCAAATTCTTAGGACTAATTTTCGATGAACATCTCTCCTGAGACGCTCACATAAATAACCAAATAACTAAATGTAGCAAAGATCTAAATACGCTAAGATGCCTAACTCGCTCAGACTGGGGGGCCTCCAAAGACAACCTCCTCTCACTCTATATATCACTTATTAGATCTTAAATAGACTACAGCTGTGCTATATAAGACACCCTAAACCAATCCCTAAGCAAAAAACTAGACTCAATCCAATATCAGGCTCTAAAACTAATAACACGCACTCAACATGGCACCTCCTACACTTCACTCCAGGCCTTAAAAGGAGAAATGCCACTAAATCTACGTAGGGAACAATTAACCCTAAATTTCTGGGCCACGTCTCAATTTAACCCCCTAATCCAAAACCTAATAAACAAAAATATCAACCCCAAAAACCAAGCCCTAGCTCGAAAACACTCTCTACTTACTCCAATATCCCAAAGAATAACCAATTACTTAAATGAACACCAAATAAACAATCTTAAACAAAACTGTAAAAAATCAAATATCTTCACCCAAAAACTTAAAACACCCAAAATAGACATAACATTAGCTAGCACAATAAATAAACAAACCGACCCAAACATAGCAAAAACCACCACACTAGCATTCATACATGAAAATTGGCCAAATTGGTGTCACATTTACACAGACGGATCCTCAGATCCGACCTCCAAACACACAGGTTTTGGAGTCCACATCACACAACCAACTGAAGCCACAAAATCCTACCGACTCCCAAACAATCAATCAATATTCACGGCCAAACTAATGGGCATGGCCCTGCATAATCAACAATCTAAAAAACAACAAAAAATCCTAATACTTACCGACTCGCTCAGTGGACTACAAGCCCTCCAAAATAAAATCACCAAAAACCGTCCTAAACTAATAAATCAAATACTAAAAAGCTCAAACGATTTAACTAAGGCAGGCAAACAAATAGTATTCATTTGGATCCCCGCCCACGTAGGAATATACGGCAATGAAAACGCCGATAAAGCGCTAAACTATCCCTTAAAATCCCAGGAATAAGCTTAAACCTACCCATCTCCAAATCAGAAATTAAAAGTGTCAACAAACACAAAATCACCAAAAAATGGCATAACTTATATCTAAACTCAAATAGCCAAATCAAAAAGGTTCTAAAAAAAACCCTAACCAAACCAAAAATTCTACATCCGTCCAAAAAAATCGACAACTCCAAACAGGACATACCAACCTAAATAACCACCTCAAAATGAAAAAAAACAACACGCAACAGGAACCTGCCCACATTGCAAACAACAAGAAACCCCAGAACACGCACTCATACACTGCAACCACCACCTAACACATCGAACTACACTACAAATCACCCTAAATCTAAATAAGGCTCTTACTCTAGAAGCAATCCTTAACCCCCAAATAAAATAGAAAAATTCAAAGCCTTAGGCGTATACTTAATCAAAACATGACTAATAAATCGCATTTAAAACCCCAATAAACTACCAAAACCAAACCACATAATCAAACTAACAAACTTCCATACTCAGCTACCTAAGTTCGCCCCCCAAACCCTTCTGGCATTTTTTCCAAATCTAAAAATTTCGAAAATTCTATATAAGCAACCACTAAAACACCCCTACTGGATTGCCAAAGAACTTTTTCCCCTTTTTGGAAACACATTAAATGGCCTGGCCGGGCCCGTGTGCAAAATACGCTGCAGTTGGAAAGCGCACGTAAAATCTCCAATATAAGTAAGTAAGTAAGTAATCAAAGCAATAAATCCCAAGCACTGAGCAGATAGGTTCCCTGTCGCCAGTTGTTGGTAGACAAGACTTTGGTGGCTTCCAACATGATGTTATGGTCTTGGTTCTTGATAATGTGATTTGAAATAGCGGATTCTGTCTATTCTGTTGACAGAGGTCTGATGTTCTTTAAGTCTTGTATTTAGGGATCTGACAGTGTCTCCAATGTATTGGTGACCACAGTTGCAGGGGATCTGGTATATACATCCTCCTGGGTTGAAATCTGCGCTGCTGGTGCCTCTGCCATTGGCTCGGAGACTGTAAACTGTTCCATTTGTCCATTGCTAATCACCTATTAGCATCAATATACTGTTGGCTTCCCTTGTGAAGTTTCCACCTTTGTTATCTTATTACTTTGTTTTTCTTACAGGAAAATATATAGCATTAATTCACCTGATGAAGGAGTAAGTTTATGCTCTGAAACATTGTGTTCCTCATAATAAATAAATTGACCATATTTCCTTATATGTCTTGAGACCACAGTATCATCTGCTTGTCTATTTTGAGGTGAAGTAGTTACTTTGATCTTGTGCACATTTTTTGTTTGTTTCTTCGTATATTCTATAGGGCTTAACCAAGCATACCCAGAACTAGTAATGATAGTTGTGTGTGCATTTGTAGCATTTTTTATACAATTTATGTATTAATTTAGATCTTGACCTTCAAAGTGACATTGACCTTCAAATGTACCTCTGTGGTTTAAATAATGATTGATTTAAGGCAAACCCTTAATAATATCCTACATAGAAAAGGTATTTGCAAACGGTAATAGGTATGTGTTGCATAAATCTATTATTAAATGAAATTAACAATGTTAATAAAAAGAAACATGCACATTTTGACAAAATGGGGGGTGGGATAACATATTACCGTGTCGGCTGATTATGAGATATTAAATGGCTTGGTTGATAATACTAATAATTCATTACGGTTCTTTTTCCAATATTTGGAAAATGACAATAGAGCAAAGATCACCATATTTTTGTTTAATTTTACTATTTACTCAATTGGTGAGAGGCCATAATTAAAAAATGGTAATAATTCAAGTCTCCACTGTGTAACTATCACATAAATGATAAATATAAGGACTTAATGCATACACAACAACATTTGAAAATAATGATACTTACTTTCATTTTTCATTTATCAAAATTGCAAATTCAATGCACCTAAATAGGATCTGGAGGTCACAATGGCTGCTGGCTGTGAATTCTACATGCAGTTCAATGACCAATTTGACAGCAATGCTTACCATCAACCACTGGTTTTAAAAAAAAGACCCATTGCTGCTGTAGTGAGTATGTGTGTATTCCCAACTCTCACTGTATACTCGGTTTCCTACCTCTCCTTCAGGTCTCGCTGGCCCTGACAACCCCGCCCCCGACGAGGTCGAGCAGAGCCTACGAGACCAGATGGAAGATGACAAAGCCGAGTGAGTACATGAATGATCTCATATGTTGCTACTGTCGTTGCAGGACAAGCAGAATGGCGAGTTGTGCCTTCTTGTGGATAGTTTTGTGGCTGGTTTCTGTCTTGGCACAATCAGTGACATAGTGTAACACGTTGTCCACTTGTCATGTGATTTGTGACACAATTTTACATAAATATTTTCTTAGTCATTTTCTCTAGTCTGTCAGACAGACCCTGAAACAAATATATCCAATACAGCCCATGCAAGTCAAGAATAGTGGCAACTCTAGATTTACTGCAGTTTCTGAAAATGACGAGAGTCAGTCATCAATCCACTAACCCACAGGAGCGACGGGTGGCCCAGTCGCCTAAGTCGCCGCGATCTGGTGTGCAGAGTTGCATCCCTTGGACACGCCCGAAACCTATGATTGTGGGTTCGAATCCCGGTTTGCCCCGATTATGTTTCTAGGTTTGTTAGAACCATACCCATGCTTGTGGGTTTCACCGACGTGGTAAACGTCTGAGACCTGCATCACTTCAGGCTTTCCTCCCACATTAAGCTGACACGGCACGATATAACTGTAATAATGTTAAAAGCAGCGTTAAACCCAACTCACTCACTCACTCACTTAGCCACCGAGACTTCCACAAAAGTGGAAGACTCTGACAACTGGTAGATCTAGACTATTTTTAGGATGCGTCGGTGGCTGAGTGGGTTAGATAGCAGACCTTGTGTGCAGGCGATAAGGCTCCTCTCTTTGGGAGTGCCATCGATAAGGCTCCTCTCTTTGGAAGTGCTGGCGATAAGGCTCCTCTCTTCGGAAGTGCTGGCGATAAGGCTCCTCTTTTGGGAGAGCTGGCGATAAGGCTCCTCTCTTCGGGAGTGCTGGCGATAAGGCTCCTCTCTTCAGGAGTGCTGGCGATAAGGCTCCTCTCTTCGGGAGTGCTGGCGATAAGGCTCCTCTCTTCGGGAGTGCTGGCGATAAGGCTCCTCTCTTCAGGAGTGCTGGCGATGAGGCTCCTCTCTTCGGGAGTGCTGGCGATAAGGCTCCTCTCTTTGGGAGTGCTGGCGATAATGCTCCTCTCTTTGGGAGTGCTGGCGATAAGGCTCCTCTCTTCGGGAGTGCTGGCGATAAGGCTCCTCTGTTTGGGAGTGCTGGCGATAAGACTCCTCTCTTCGGGAGTGCTGGCAATAAATAAGGCTCCTCTCTTTGGGAGTGCTGGCGATAAGACTCCTCTCTTCGGGAGTGCTGGCGATAAGGCTCCTCTCTTTGGGAGTGCTGGCGATAAGGCTCCTCTCTTTGGGAGTGTCGGTTCAATTCCTGGATGAGACTCAATCCAAAAAAGTATGAGAAAATTACTGAGAAAGTGTTATCCCAAATATAACATTTGTTATATATGATCTTGGCAAAACGTAGTATTCATACCCACCACCAGCAGATCCTGACAGCTCATGAATGCATCAAAGTGATGCTACATGTGACCTTGATTTGTGTTAAAAACTAATAAATAAACCTGAACACTGAGAGAAAACTATCTGCTCAGTGTGTTAAAAGTTGAGTTAGAATGGAAATTGTCAAAGTGGTGCAAATTAGTGATATGCATCTGTCTTTAGTAAACTCATTTGCTTAAAATGAAGTTGAGCCAGGTTTTACAGATCTTTTAACAAAGATAGTCGACTCTCGTGATTGCAGATACAAGGAGACATTTACGCACCTGCGAACAATGAAGACAGAGATCGAGCACCTGCAGCACCTCCTGGAGAAGTCCAAGGTCCAGCTAATGAAGGACTTCGAGCTCTGGTGGGCAGAACAGTCTGCTAATGGCCTGGTATGTTGGGGTGTACTGGTGCCAGAACAGTCTGCTAATGGCCTGGTATGTTGGGGTGCTGTGTGGTGGTGGAACAGTCTGATAATGACCTGGTATGTTGGGGTGCTGTGGTGGCAGAACCCTCTGCTAATGGCCTGGTATGTTGGGGTGCTGTGTGGTGGTGGAACAGTCTGATAATGACCTGGTATGTTGGGGTGCTATGGTGGCAGAACTCTCTGCTAATGGCCTGGTATGTTGGGGTGCTGTGTGGTGGTGGAACAGTCTGATAATGACTTGGCATGTTGGGGTGCTATGGTGGCAGAACCGTCTGCTAATGGCCTGGTATGTTGGGGTGCTGTGTGGTGGCGGAACAGTCTGATAATGACTTGGCATGTTGGGGTGCTGTTTGCGGCAGAACAGTCTGCTAATGACTTGGCATGTTGGGGTGCTGTTTGCGGCAGAACAGTCTGCTAATGGCCTGGTATGTTGGGGTGCTGTGGTCGCAGAACCGTCTGCTAATGGCCTTGTATGTTGGGTGCTGTGGTGGCAGAACAGTCTGCTAATGGCCTTGTATGTTGGGGTGCTGTTTTCGGCAAAACAGTCTGCTAATGGCCTGGTATGTTGGAGTGCTGTGTGGTGGTGGAACAGTCTGATAATGACCTGGTATGTTTGGGTGCTATGGTGGCAGAACCCTCTGCTAATGGCCTGGTATGTTGGGGTGCTGTGTGGTGGTGGAACAGTCTGATAATGACCTGGTATGTTGGGGTGCTGTGGTGGCAGAACCGTCTGCTAATGGTCTGGTATGTTGGGGTGCTGTGTTGGCAGTCTGCTTATGGTCTGGTATGTTGGGGTGCTGTGTGGTGGTGGAACAGTCTGATAATGACCTGGTATGTTGGGGTGCTGTGGTGGCAGAACCCTCTGCTAATGGCCTGGTATGTTGGGGTGCTGTGTGGTGGTGGAACAGTCTGATAATGACCTGGTATCTTGGGGTGCTATGGTGGCAGAACCCTCTGCTAATGGCCTGGTATGTTGGGGTGCTGTGTGGTGGTGGAACAGTCTGATAATGACCTGGTATGTTGGGGTGCTATGATGGCAGAACCGTCTGCTAATGGCCTGGTATGTTGGGGTGCTGTGTGGTGGCGGAACAGTCTGATAATGACTTGGCATGTTGGGGTGCTGTTTGCGGCAGAACAGTCTGCTAATGGTCTGGTATGTTGGGGTGCTGTGGTGGCAGAACCCTCTGCTAATGGCCTGGTATGTAGGGGTGCTGTGGTCGCAGAACCGTCTGCTAATGGCCTTGTATGTTGGGTGCTGTGGTGGCAGAACAGTCTGCTAATGGCCTTGTATGTTGGGGTGTTGTTTTTGGCAAAACAGTCTGCTAATGGTCTGGTATGTTGGGGTGCTGTGTGGTGGTGGAACAGTCTGATAATGGCCTTGTATGTTGGGGTGCTGTGGTGGCAGAACAGTCTGCTAATGGCCTTGTATGTTGGGTTGCTGTGGTGGGAGAACAGTCTGCTAATGGCCTGGTATGTTGGGGTGCTGTGGTGGAAGAACAGTCTGCTAATGGCCTGGTATGTTGGGGTGCTGTGTGGTGGTGGAACAGTCTGATAATGACCTGGTATGTTGGGGTGCTGTGTGGTGGCAGAACCCTCTGCTAATGGCCTGGTATGTTGGGGTGCTGTGTGGTGGTGGAACAGTCTGATAATGACCTGGTATGTTGGGGTGCTGTTTGCGGCAGAACAGTCTGCTAATGGCCTGGTATGTTGGGGTGCTGTGGTGGCAGAACCCTCTGCTAATGGCCTGGTATGTAGGGGTGCTGTGTTTGCAGAACCGTCTGCTAATGGCCTTGTATGTTGGGTGCTGTGGTGGCAGAACAGTCTGCTAATGGCCTTGTATGTTGGGGTGCTGTTTTCGGCAAAACAGTCTGCTAATGGTCTGGTATGTTGGGGTGCTGTGTGGTGGTGGAACAGTCTGATAATGGCCTTGTATGTTGGGGTGCTGTGGTGGCAGAACAGTCTGCTAATGGCCTTGTATGTTGGGTTGCTGTGGTGGCAGAACAGTCTGCTAATGGCCTGGTATGTTGGGGTGCTGTGGTGGAAGAACAGTCTGCTAATGGCCTTGTATGTTGGGGTGCTGTTTTCGGCAAAACAGTCTGCTAATGGTCTGGTATGTTGGGGTGCTGTGTGGTGTTTGAACCGTCTGATAATGGCCTTGTATGTTTGGGTGCTGTGGTGGCAGAACAGTCTGCTAATGGCCTTGTATGTTGGGTTGCTGTGGTGGGAGAACAGTCTGCTAATGGCCTGGTATGTTGGGGTGCTGTGGTGGAAGAACAGTCTGCTAATGGCCTGGTATGTTGGGTTGCTGTGTGGTGGTGGAACAGTCTGATAATGACCTGGTATGTTGGGGTGCTGTGTTGGCAGAACCGTCTGCTAATGGCCTTGTATGTTGGGTGCTGTGGTGGCAGAACAGTCTGCTAATGGCCTTGTATGTTGGGGTGCTGTTTTCGGCAAAACAGTCTGCTAATGGCCTGGTATGTTGGGGTGCTGTGTGGTGGTGGAACAGTCTGATAATGACCTGGTATGTTTGGGTGCTATGGTGGCAGAACCCTCTGCTAATGGCCTGGTATGTTGGGGTGCTGTGTGGTGGTGGAACAGTCTGATAATGACCTGGTATGTTGGGGTGCTGTGGTGGCAGAACCGTCTGCTAATGGTCTGGTATGTTGGGGTGCTGTGTTGGCAGTCTGCTTATGGTCTGGTATGTTGGGGTGCTGTGTGGTGGTGGAACAGTCTGATAATGACCTGGTATGTTGGGGTGCTGTGGTGGCAGAACCCTCTGCTAATGGCCTGGTATGTTGGGGTGCTGTGTGGTGGTGGAACAGTCTGATAATGACCTGGTATGTTGGGGTGCTATGGTGGCAGAACCCTCTGCTAATGGCCTGGTATGTTGGGGTGCTGTGTGGTGGTGGAACAGTCTGATAATGACCTGGTATGTTGGGGTGCTATGGTGGCAGAACCGTCTGCTAATGGCCTGGTATGTTGGGGTGCTGTGTGGTGGCGGAACAGTCTGATAATGACTTGGCATGTTGGGGGGCTGTTTGCGGCAGAACAGTCTGCTAATGGTCTGGTATGTTGGGGTGCTGTGGTGGCAGAACCCTCTGCTAATGGCCTGGTATGTAGGGGTGCTGTGGTGGCAGAACCGTCTGCTAATGGCCTTGTATGTTGGGTGCTGTGGTGGCAGAACAGTCTGCTAATGGCCTTGTATGTTGGGGTGCTGTTTTCGGCAAAACAGTCTGCTAATGGTCTGGTATGTTGGGGTGCTGTGTGGTGGTGGAACAGTCTAATAATGGCCTTGTATGTTGGGGTGCTGTGGTGGCAGAACAGTCTGCTAATGGCCTTGTATGTTGGGTTGCTGTGGTGGCAGAACAGTCTGCTAATGGCCTGGTATGTTGGGGTGCTGTGGTGGAAGAACAGTCTGCTAATGGCCTTGTATGTTGGGGTGCTGTTTTCGGCAAAACAGTCTGCTAATGGTCTGGTATGTTGGGGTGCTGTGTGGTGTTTGAACCGTCTGATAATGGCCTTGTATGTTTGGGTGCTGTGGTGGCAGAACAGTCTGCTAATGGCCTTGTATGTTGGGTTGCTGTGGTGGGAGAACAGTCTGCTAATGGCCTGGTATGTTGGGGTGCTGTGGTGGAAGAACAGTCTGCTAATGGCCTGGTATGTTGGGTTGCTGTGGTGGGAGAACAGTCTGCTAATGGTCTGGTATGTTGGGGTGCTGTGGTGGTGGAACAGTCTGATAATGACCTGGTATGTTGGGGTGCTGTGGTGGCAGAACCCTCTGCTAATGGCCTGGTATGTTGGGGTGCTGTGTGGTGGCAGAACCGTCTGCTAATGGTCTGGTATGTTGGGTGCTGTGGTGGCAGAAAAGTCTGATAATGGCCTGGTATGTTGGGGTGCTGTGTTGCAGAACAGACTGCTAATGGTCTTGTATGTTGGGTGCTGTGGTGGCAGAACAGTCTGCTGATGGCCTGGTATGTTGGGTGCTGTGGTGGCAGAACCGTCTGCTAATGGTCTGGTATGTTGGGGTGCTGTGTTGGCAGAACAGTCTGCTAATGGTCTGGTATGTTTGGGTGCTGTGGTTGCAGAACAGACTGCTAATGGTCTTGTATGTTGGGTGCTGTGGTGGCAGAACAGTCTGCTGATGGCCTGGTATGTTGGGGTGCTGTGGTGGCAGAACAGTCTGGTTATGGCCTGGTATGTTGGGGTGCTGTGTTGGCAGAACAGTCTGCTAATGGTCTGGTATGTTTGGGTGCTGTGTTGGCAGAACAGTCTGCTAATGGCCTGGTATGTTGGGTTGCTGTGGTGGCAGAACAGTCTGCTTATGGTCTGGTATGTTGGGGTGCTGTGGTGGCAGAAAAGTCTGATAATGGCCTGGTATGTTGGGGTGCTGTGTTGGCAGAACAGTCTGCTAATGGTCTGGTATGTTTGGGTGCTGTGGTTGCAGAACAGACTGCTAATGGTCTTGTATGTTTGGTGCTGTGGTGGCAGAACAGTCTGCTGATGGCCTGGTATGTTGGGGTGCTGTGGTGGCAGAACCGTCTGCTAATCGTCTGGTATGTTGGGTTGCTGTGTTGGCAGAACAGTCTGGTTATGGCCTGGTATGTTGGGGTGCTGTGTTGGCAGAACAGTCTGCTAATGGTCTGGTATGTTGGGTGCTGTGTTGGCAGAACAGTCTGCTAATGGCCTGGTATGTTGGGTTGCTGTGGTGGCAGAACAGTCTGCTTATGGTCTGGTATGTTGGGGTGCTGTGGTGGCAGAAAAGTCTGATAATGGCCTGGTATGTTGGGGTGCTGTGGTGGCAGAAAAGTCTGATAATGGCCTGGTATGTTTGGGTGCTGTGGTTGCAGAACAGACTGCTAATGGTCTTGTATGTTGGGTGCTGTGTTTGAGGAACAGTCTGCTAATGTTCTGGTATGTTGGGTTGCTGTGGTGGGAGAACAGTCTGCAAATGGTATCGTATGTTTT